ATGATACTCTAGAGAATGACACGTGGTCTATAATGGGAAAACATGACAATAGATAGCGTATCTTGATAGCGTATGTCACGTTAGACAAATGAATGATACTCAAGAGAATGAAACGTGGTCTATAATGGGAAAACATGACAATAGATAGCGTATCTTGATAGCGTATGTCACGTTGGACATATGAATGATACTCTAGAGAATGACACGTGGTCTAAAATGAAGAAAAACGTAACGTCAATGGTATGAACGTCTTTTCGTGACGGTTTGCAAGCATTCCAAGCAATCAAAAGACATGGCGGCCATGTTAGTGGGTATCAAAAAACAGAAGCTAATGAGTAATCGTTAAATACCAAGAATCGCTCGTTTGTTTTTAAGGTCATTGATAACAACTTGAATCCAATCTGGAAACCTTTTGAGATGACCGTAAATTCTCTTTGTGGTGGGGACTACGATGCGAAACTCAAGGTAAATATAACCATTATTTTAAAGTATAGTGTTACAGCAGTGTCAAGGGGGTTATTGGATTTATATTTTACTTCGTCAGTAAAATTTTGATGAAAAAAGGGTGGCGTGGCGCATTCACCATTGTCCCTGGAAGCTACTGATGCCGTTTCTTTTTATACCTAGATCGATGTGTATGACTACGACGAAGGTGATACCAATGACTTTATTGGATCTACTGAAACCACCTTGAAGGGTCTGCTTGATGCGCATCCTGAAGGAGTGAGTGCACATACATTAGATTTTTACTTTGCATCGCGTTAGATTGATGAGAATCCTCAGCTGATATTGGTACCAAGCATTAGAATGAACAAATAGAAAACACGCGCGCGTGCTGTGTGCTGTCATAAAGAAGTGTCAGGAGAAGCACGACTCCTAGCGGAAGTGCTCTTATAAAGCACGCGCTCTAAACTAATCAGAACGAGACATTCATAACAGTTATTTTATGATACTCTTTGTTCGATGGCACATGACGGGTGATGTTTGTTTGTTGTCATTTTCTTTTAGAAATCGTTTGAATTAATCAATCCTAAGAAAAAACAGAAGAAGAAGAATTACGTCAACTCTGGTCAACTTCTTGTCAATAATTGTGAGGTAAAAAAATGGCGAGATGGAAAACTTGAAGAGGTTTATAATTTATTTCCTTGGTATGTATTCTTGCAATACTGAAGAAATAGAAAATTCGCGCGCGTGCTGTGTGCTGTCATAAAGCACGCGGGGGTTGGCAGAACACGAGAGAAGTGTTAGGAGAAGCACGACGCGCAATCAGAACGCGATATGCGTAAGTTATTTTATAAACATTATATAAAAGTTTCCTATTTTCTTGCAGATCGTTCGCATTTATTCATTCTTAGAATATGTTATGGGAGGATGCCAGTTAAACTTCAGTGTAAGTTCGACTATGCTGTATCATAAATATATATATGATATCGTTGCACACTGCAACTTGTTCTCAAATTAAGCATTACGCAAGGACCTTTGCATGGAACATATAAAAGTAATAAAAATGACCTAAACTTGGAGAACGGTATTAATACCAAATATACTTGTTTCGAGTTCTCTGTTTCTCAGGCTTAGCCTCGCAATTGTGCAGAATATTCACGTGTTCCAGTTAAGGTCCGTGGATTTTAAAGTGACTTTACTAATTTGTTTAATTTGTGCACTCTTTACTTTGTCGTTGGTATTTGTGAACATTTAGACAATAATTCAAGGCATACCCTGCGTAAAAGATTTTGTAATAGGCCGTTTCCAATAGATTGACACGTGATTGTTACTGGATGGCAAATAAATGTGGACTTCCTTTTTGAAAATTGTTTTTGCTGGATTACTAATGTCGCATCCAAAACCTCTTCAAAAATACTTTTTTTCTCTTATAAGATACTTTCGATTTCAAGATAAGGAGGAATTTAAAGTTTGTTTGCCATCCAGCAGAGCCTTCCCCAAGGGACCTTGAGCTGAATCGATTCGTTAGTAAAGTCATATGTCAGCACGTGACTGTTTGTTGTAAAAGGCCTATTAAGGAAGACAGCGGTAACTCGGAAATGGTATACTGTCGCATTCCATGAATGCCTGCGCCATTGCCAGTGTGTTGCTGCGCAGGGCTGTTCGCACAACAAACTTTGTTTCTTTCGCATCGATGCAAAAATGGCCTTACCTTTCTGAATTGTTGCCAGCAGCCTTTTATGTTACCGTTGAGCATCATGTTGTGTCAAGTGTCATGCATGGGCTTAAATACCTTTGAGCTTTAATCTTTACCTGCCTGTTTTCCTTTCTTCCTAGAAGTGTCTGTAAAACAATTTTTAGTGTTTTTTTCCTACGTTTTGTTGTGGTGTTGTGGTGTTGTGGTGTTGTGGTGTGACGTTGTGGTGTGGTGTTGTGGCGTTGTGGCGTTGTAGTGTCGTGGTGTCGTAATGTGGTGGTGTTGTGTGGTGGTGTGGTGGTGTGGTG